TCAAATATTTTTCTAGAACACATAAAAGCTCCATATGCCTCAGATAATGAATAAGCTTCACGTTTCTATTTTTATTGGCATTTGGTAGTTTAAGATAATGAACTTTAGATAATGAAAACAAGGGTGCAAGACTTAGTACTCAACCTAATTTTATAATTATTCTAATACTAAAAAAACAAGGCTACAGTATTTTAAGGTAAAAAGTTTCTTCTTCAAAAACTCAACCTAAAAGTATTCAAAAAAGATGATTCGATGATACGATTTTGACTGTTTCTTTCAATGAAACCTATTTTAATTGAGAAAATAAAAAAGATAGGGCACAAAAAGTTATTTCTACAATTAAAAATTCAGAATAATCCATTTATGTGCTCATTTTTTCAATATTTTTAAAAGTACTAGTAACTAGTAAAAAGTAAAAATTGGTTCCTTATCTCTACGAATCTGGTTTCTTATCTCTCTAAATTTGGTTCTTTATCTCTAGTAAAAATTTGAAGTTTATTCTCGGAGATTATTTGTAAAATACTAAAAATGATTTTAAAAATGACAAAAAGTAAACGAGAAACATTTCTAATGAAAGAAATTGTTTGGTATTTGGTTTGAGACTCATTTATTTAGATAATGAAAACAAGAGACTTAGCACTACTCAATAATAAGACAGAAGATCTTCCCGTTCCAACTCACATTCATTTCCTCTCTTCTCCTTCTCCAATCTCTTCTCCTTTTGTCTCTTCCTCAATCGCGGCTTTTTCCAAAAGTTCTCTAACTTCTCTCAGCTCTTTCGCGAAATCTTCAGTCTCCTCTTTCAGCTCGTCTTCCACTTCTTTGTGAAGGATCTAAATTTAATCATTTTGCATTTTCTTCATTTTATATCTGATTTCTTATCTCACTTGTACAATATCGTGCTTCAACAATCGCAACTTTTCTTGCTTATTGATGGCGCACGTTTGAGGAGCGATTTTTCTGTAAAAATAGTTTTTGATTGTATAGTTTAGTTATAATTTGCATTTAATATTAAAATTGAGAACTGATAAAGCAACAAACCGCTGTACAAAATTCGGTTGAATGGGGACGTCGACGAAATTGTCGTCGAGAGCGTTCCGACCCGGCAACTGATTCCCTTCGGCACCACTGATCAATCGGAAGAGCTAAATTTACGATTGAAATTGAAAAGTTTTCAGATTATATAATTTCTAAAGATACTGTAGGTTTTGAATACCGTATTCTCTCTAATAGTAGTGCACTCTTTAATAGTATTGTGGTCCGAGAGGGGTTTGAAAAAATAGTAGTGGACAAATTTGAATTTTTGGTGCTTCTTTTTCATCTAAATCTTTTTGACTTTATGTTTATGTGACATTCTAAAGCTATTCAAGCAAGCAAAAGTCAGGCTTTTTTTTATTCATTTATTAACTATTCTTCACATGAAAAAGTTAGCAAAAAATCTAAAATTGTTGCGCAAAGTGCAAAAACATCTTTTTGTTGTTTGTCAAGGCACAAATTGTCAACTCGCCGGCCCACAACTGTATGTCAAAAGGAGCTAAAGGAGCCAAAGGAGTACGTGAAAGAATTGCAAGAATTTTTGGAACAAATCTTATATCTGTCTTACTTTGGTAAATGATGAAACTCTTTAATAGTAGTGCACTCTCTAATAGTAGTGCACTCTTTCATAGTATTGCGGTCCAGGAGAGGATTGAAAAAATAGTAGTGCGCACTACTATTAGAGAGAATACGGTATTTTATATTTCAGTCTACCTGATGATCTTTATGCGAGGCGAGATCGCTGAGGAAAGCTTTTGCGGTCGCCTTTTTCCCGTTCGGATCCTTGAGTTCTTTGAGTTTTCTTTCTGAAAAATAGGTTTTAAGTTAAGAAAATGAAAATATATTACATTTTAGTAGTCAATTAGATTTTTAATACAGCTACAGATTGTCTTATTTCTAGATTATTTTGAATGAAATTTGAAAGTTTGAAAGTTTTGTCAAGTTTAGTAGATTGCCAAGTTGAAGCATGTCAAATTTTAATAGATTAGATTACCGTATTTCTTCGAATAGAAGACCGGGTAAAGAGTATCATCGCGTACTCCTGCGTAGCAGCCCTTTTTAAAATTTATTTTCTGCATAAAAGCTTTCAATGAAGTGCTATAGAGCTGGAAAATGGCTCAAAAATCTGTTAGCTCATGTCGTATTTTTGAGTCATTTTCCACCCCTATAGCACTTCATTGAAAGCTTTTATGCAGAAAAGAAATTTTAAAAAGGGCTGCTACGCAGGAGTACGCGATGATACTCTTTACCCGGTCTTCTATTCGAAGAAATACGGTATGTTTCTTGTTTAAATTTAACATTTAAATGCAAATTTCAATGTTTTTTTTAAACTAGTAACATAGAAAAGTGAAAAAAAAGAATTAAATTTAGAAAATAAACCTAATGAGGTCAAATATTTCGAATCAATATCTTCGGCGGCTCGTTCACTCATCAAGAAAAGCATTTAAAAGTGATTCTTTTACAAAAAATTCAGCAAAATTATCAAATAAACATGAGAAATTATTTCCTTAATAATTTCTGCTTTGAATTCTCTCAATTCTTTGATCAATAGATTAAATATCTGCTCTTTTGAAATCTATTCAATTATCTGTGCTAAAGCTTTTTGTAGTTTGTAGTTGGGAATAGAAATTTAGGGAAAATGAGAGATTGCAGAGAAAACGTTTTCGAATCGATCCGTATCCCGAAGCGCTTTCCATCTTTCTACTAACAAATTGAGGAAAAAGAAGAAAGCAAATAGTAGCTCCCCCTTTTTCGCTGTGTTACGCTCTCGAAATCGTTTTCCCCACAAATCACTACTCAATTTTTTTTTTCATCATAAGTTTTCTATTTCTTTTTAAATCTTTTTAAATAAAAGTCTTAAATCTTATTTTTCATTTTAATCATCTTTCATCGTTTTAAAGTTTGAGGGGTAGGCTACTTTGCGCCAAATTTTTTTGCGCAACAGGGTCATTTGCGCAACTGGGTCGTTTGCGCAACTCGCCATAACTTTCTTCTAAGTGAACCAATCTTTATCATTTTGGTGTCATTTTGTAGATCTCACTAAGTGCAATAAAATGACACCAAAATGATAAAGATTGGTTCACTTAGAAGAAAGTTGTGGCGAGTTGCGCAAATAACCCTGTAGCCCAAAAAATTTGGTAGCCTACCCCAACTTTTCTTTGACTTTAAGCCGTCAGAACTTTTTTGTCTTTTTAAAAATTTACATTTCGAGAACATCCAAATTGTAGCTTGAACTTAAAATTCGACTTTTAAGACCGTAAATCTTTTTCAATCTTGCTTGAAAGAAGTTAAGTTGGAAATTTTGGAGCTTTACAACCAAGCTTTCTGTTCAACTCATTCATTGTCATTTTTGGATAAAATTTTGAATCTAGTATTTTCAATTGTTAGTAGTTTAGTATTTACTTGCTTCAACTTTTCGATTTCCAGATTCGATGAACTTCCAGCAGCCAGTCCGCCCCGTCAAACCGCCAACAGAGCCGAAAACGGGCCTCCGCGGCTTCATCGAGACGATCGCTGAAAAAGACGAGCTTCTTCTCTATTTCACTGCATTTCTTGGTGTAGTAATGCCTGGAATTGTCTATTTAATCTATCGAAGAGTGCACATTGTTTATCAACGATACGCCGAGAAAAAAGAAGTTGAACGTTTGGAAGAAGAACGGGCAAAAGCCGAGATAACAATCATCTATGCATCGGCACAAGAAAACGGGGGGAAAGCGAAAGAAAGAGCTGAAGAATTATTTGAAGCTATGAGTTCAGAGAATCCGAAAGTCTACGATTTGGGCAAAATCGGGCCCTCTGTTTTAACAAAATTTAAAGGTTTTGTGATTTTCATCGTTGAGAATTTAGAAAGCACAGGGAAAGCGGACTGGCTTTTAGACTGGTTAGAGGATATAGCAGCGGATAAGAAGCTGAAGAAAAACACGAATGTTGAAGAGATTAAATTTGTTGCGCTTGGGTTTAAAGCCGGGAAAACGGTGGTCACATTGAATAAGAGGATGAAGATTGTTGGAGCAAAAGAGTTGAGGAATTGTGTGGATTTGGGTGAAGAGTTGGGAGTGGATGATGAGAACAAGTTGTTTAATCAATGGGCAATGGAGGCAATGGAAGCTATTGATGTATACTTTCAAGGAGAACACGAGAGTATTTTGGGTGATGAATCAATGAGTGAAATGTCGGATTTGGACGGAGATGAGTCAAAGAAGGAGCGGTAGAAATCAAGGTTGGAGATGGAAAGACGAGTGTTTGTTGTGAGTTATTTTGTGAACACTTAAGGTTTCTGTAAAGGTTTATTGCTATGGATTCCTATATTATTGTAGGTTATTTTATTGCTATGTATTACTATATTATTGTAGATTACTTTATTGCTATGGACTATTATATTATTGCAGATTACTTTGTTGCTATATTATTGCAGATTACTATTATTGTATATTACTTTATTGCTATATATTATTATATTATTGTATATTACTTTATTGCTATGGATTCCTCTATTATTGTAGATTACTTTATTACTCACTACATTATCCTAGGCATTCTTCCTACATCCTACATTATCCAAGGCATTTCATTTCAATGAACTTGTCAGCCTTGTCAATTGTATTTAATGTATTAAATCTTAAAGCGTTTTCTTGAGTCCAATAACTTTAGCATATTTTCTGATATCTCTATATTTCCATTTTTCATTTCCCATTTCATAATGTCAACGGGAATCTCGATTCAACGATCTCATCAAATGTGCAATCATGACTTTATAGCTTTGAACATTGACCAAATTTTGGTGCTTTTTCTGATTTTTATTGATTGAATGCTCACGATTGAATAAAATAAAAAGAAATTCAGTTATGCTAAATGACGACTGTGATCTGAATCCAAATTTTCAAAAGGATGACGACTTGGAAATTGAAGCATCAACATCGAATCGACCGGGACCCTCAACAATTGCACAAAGAAGGGAAAAATCAATGAATGGAACAATACGAGTTGTGAAAAGGATACCGATCAAGTCGAGAGTCAAGACACCGTATCTGAATCAGGTGAGAAACAGTAACAGGTATTTTTTTCAATACTTTACTTTGTTTCAGTATTTTCTAAAAGTTTTCTAGCTTTACCGTAATCAAATTGTCAGTTATCAAGTTAGACTGAGCCTTGTGATTCATCAAATCACACCAAAATTTTGATTAAATGAGAACTAGCGCTTTAAAAAGTAGCGCTTTAAAAAGTAGCGCTTTAAAAAGTAGCGCTTTAAAAAGTAGCGCTTTAAGAAGTAGCGCTTTAAGAAGTAGCGCTTTAAAAGCAGCGCTTTAAGAAGTAGCGCTTTAAGAAGTAGCGCTTTAAGAAGTAGCGCTTTAAGAAGTAGCGCTTTAAGAAGTAGCGCTTTAAGAAGTAGCGCTTTAAGAAGTAGCGCTTAAAACGTCAAACAGTTTTAACGCCAAACAATAAAACAAACTCAATTTTCATTTATAACTACTGTAGTTATGAAATAAGTGTCAAAAAAACAATTCAAATTCAATTTTCCAGCCAGTTGGAGTATCCCTTCCGAGCAAGAAACGTTACACAATAAACACTCCACTTCCCGGGGTGAAACCAAAAGAATTCCCTGGAATCGATGAGCTAAGAGAGATGAAAAAACGAGTGATTACTGATAGAAAAGTGAGTTTAAAGGAGAACTTGATTCTCTTGATTGCTGAAATTCTCTTGATCTATTTATAGAATCTTTACAGATTTCAATTGTGCCCACTGTGCCTGAGTCACTTTCCTGTGAGACATTTCTTCTCACTCAACCACTTCGAAACTCACCACGAACACGTTATGTGTTAAGGATTCCGAAACGAGTTCCAATCGGCTCTTTACCATCACCACCGACTATACCACCGTCAGGTAATGAAAAAGTTGCGAATGCGAATTTGTTCTGTGAATTATGAAAGTTTAGCTCCAAACGAAACGATTCATTGGAATGTGCCCACACAGCTTGAAGTTCATTGTATACATCAAGATTGTTTTTGGAAAGGTTTCTTTTAAATTTAGTTTAAATTTTAGTTTAAAATTTAGACATAAACATAAAGATAAACAAAAAGATAAACATAGATAAACAAAAATTTGAAAGAATATAATATTTAGGTAATTCGGAGGATGAGTTTAACTCTCATCTACACAAAAGACATCCACACGATTTTGGGGTGAAAAAGACTTTACCTACAAAGCGATCATCTGGAGTGAGTGATTGAAAAAGAAACTTTGTCTATGAAATAATAAAACAAGTTATTCCGGGAGTGGGACAAATGTGACCTTTTTTGCTTTGCGCACCTTTTTTTCCGCACTTAGCCCATTAGCGCACATTTTTTCGCGTTTTAAAAAAGCTCTAAAAAGCTAATATTAACCAATTTCTATTTCAAAAGTTGTTTTTCTAGGTAATTTTAGGGCGTAGAATCGAAATTTTGACATATCAGAGCTTGTGGAAACAAACGGACGGAGTTATACAAAGAGAAAGATCGGCAATTTGTAATTTTCTGTAATTTGATCTAGCCGTTTTGTCTTTCAAATTGGTTCCACACGCTCTGTTATGTCAAAATTTGAATTCGACACCCTCAAATTACCTAGAAAAACAACATTTGGAATAGAAATTGGTTAATATTAGCTTTTTAGAGCTTTTTTAAAACGGGAAAAAGGTGCGCTAATGGGCAAGGTGCGGAAAAAAAGGTGCGCAAATGTCCGGGTGCGCAAAAAAAAGGTCGCTTTTGTCCCACTCCCGTTATTCCTTTTTTTTTGTCTTCTCTATCTAAATAAAACAATCAATAACTTAATTTTCAGGTTCGCTGTTCGGAATGCGATGCAATCGTTTATTCTCGTGCTCTTCTTTTAAAACATATGGGCACAGCGCATGCCATCGCTCTACCATCCTTTTCTAGAGTCTTTCAAACCGAAGAAGAACTCTCGGTAAGTGATTTTGATTAAATAGATATCTACAAGCATCTCTTTGTTTTGATTTCATCAATTTCCTTTTCAGAGTTGGCTCGAGAATGTACGTGATGCTTTTTGTGTGGATTTCGTCACAGGCTCTGGCCCGAAACAGTGGTCAAGTGGAGCGAAAATCTCGTAAAAATTTCATTCTAATCTTAACAAAAAGCTGATCAAAAAGCCAAGAATACAATTAAAAATAGCCATGGATTTAAAAATCGAAAATTTCAGCTACTTGGTCTGTTCCCGAAGCGGTGACATTAAAGAGCGACGGACGAAGAAATTCTGTCGACCGACGCGAATGACGATAAAATGTGGAAAAACGTGTACAGCTTATTTAAAGGTTTGTGTAGGGTTGATAACCTTTACCAAGAGCTGACTTCTGGTCTTGGCTGCCTAACTTCAAGCCTAACTTTCCTGCATTCCTGGCTACAAAAAGTCTTTGAAATTAGCTTCTAGCCTTGGCTGATTTACCGCTGAGTCAGAAATAAAGCTCTATCCTGGCGACAATTTGATACCTATCGGTTTAGCTCATTGGTAGAGTGTTCGCCCGGTAAGCGGTCGGGTTCGTCTTAGAGGTCGCGGGTTCGAATCCCTCCGCTATTTTGTTTTGTATTCCCCTCCATAAAACGACTGCTCAACTTTGGTCGCTTGAACTTGGCTTTGTTTTAACCTGATCTACAGGGAAAACAAAATAGAACTTTATATTTAAACTTTAATTGAAACAGGTCCTTTTTTTGAATCGGATAAGTCCATTTACCAGATATTTAAAGGATTATTTTAGATGAGAAAGGGTGAGGGTGAAGATGAGACAGCTCCGTTCGCTGTTGAAGGATGTCTTTACCATACAGGACACAATATCACTCCAGCTAGGTAAAATATAGATTTTATGTCAATAATCTCAATAATGTTTTCTATTTTCTATTTTCTATTTGGCACTAGTTTCATCAACTAGTCAATTTTTAGAATCAGTCTAACCGCTGAAGAGATCGAGGCGGTGTCGGCGGTTTTGGAGAAATTCGGGGAAAACGCGGCCGATTATCCGATTGAAGAGATTCGCGGTGGGGAGAAATCTATAGCCAGATTTCGAATTTATATTAATATTCAGTCAGAATTTACATTCTGACTGAATGCTTAGATTGTACTGTTGGAAAAGGTTAGACAATAGGCTTTCATAGCAAACTAAATTACATTTACGGTAATTATTCTACTTGCCAGCCGAGAAACCTTCTGGATGTTATAAGAAACTCTATTCAATTCAAGATTTTATATATAAAGATATTTAAGGTACAATTATCTAAACATTTCTTTCTCTGCAGAGTTACTTGGCCCAAATGCTCCGCGTTTTCGTCTAATCGAGGATCAAGAGTTACTCGAGGCTTTACCCAAATGGATATATCTGGCAAATGAATGGAAATATAAGGTTTTTGAAAATGAAATACTTTCAAATAACGTCAATTGTTATCAGGGCGGTCGAACCGAAGCCGATCAACTCGCGGACACGATCGTTTTTGCGATGGGCCCAAGTCGGAATCCGATGAATGTGTGAGTAAAAGAGATTTCTGAATTGAGAAATTGTTTAGAAGCTAGCTTAAAGTAAAACTTTTAACAATCTAATTACAAAGAAACTATCATTCTGACTATAGTAAGCTTGAATGAAAGTATTCTTTTCAGAAAAGAATAGCTTATCAAATATTTAGCTTTTTCTGACTGAATACTTATATTGTACTGTTGGAAAACGTTAGACAATAGGCTTTCATAGCAAACTAAATTACATTTACTGTAATTATTCTACTTACCAGCCGAGAAACCCGCCTAATGGTGGGTTTTTCTGGATGTTTTGGGGATGAATGGCTTTTGTCGCCGTGGAACCGTGGATAACGCCCCGGTCTATCGCCCATACGATCCGGATTCGATCTCCCCGTGCGACTCGAATTGTGCTTTTTAAAAAATCCAAAAGCACGTTGCACAACTACATTGAATTCCCTATTCAACGGCGCAAAATTCATTGCAAACGGTCCTCTGGGAGCTGAGGAGTAGCACGCACAGACGGACGGACAGACGGAAAGACATACGGATAGACGGACAGACAGACAGACAGAACAGACGGACGGACAGACGGACGGACAGACGGACGGACCGACGGACGTCTTAGTCCCTTTATATATAGTAGATTATAAGCGAGAGAGTATCTCTGTCTGTTCTGCCGTTTTAGAAAAAACTACCGAACCAATCGGTCTAAAAATTTGACTATTATAACTAAAATTTTGTGTAATTTCCAAAAAACTAATTACTTTTGTGGGTTAGATGGGCGATTTTTTGTAAAAATGCGGTTTCTCTTTCTCGTTTTTCGCTTATGAGCCTGATCGAGTGGTCCAGGCGCTGTGTGTCAGTCTGGCGCCAAAGAGGGGGTTCTTGGTTCGACCCTCTGCAATGCTCGAGTCTTTTTTTTGAATGTTTTGAATAACAGAAATGTAATTAATTGTAATTAATTCTTTAAACTAACATTTCGATTGGAAAACTAGATTAAGACCAAGATTCGTTAAGCAAAAACCGATTTGATTGTTAAGCAAAAATCGATTCGATTGTTGTCTGTCTGTCCGTCTGTCTGTCTGTCTGCCCGTCTGTCTTTCTGTCTGTCCGTCTGTCCGTCTGTCTGTTCGAGAGAATTCAAAGTTTTCAATCAAATCTATCAAAAATTGAGATTCTTATTATGAAAACGGACAACTTTCGCTTTATTTGCTTAAGAAATTGCTTTGTTTTGATAATGATTTGATGACTCTAATAGAATGACTGGCTCTAATAAAAGGAATTTTTTTGAAATTTTCACTTTTAAACATGTTTTTTATGTTTAGAAAACAAGAACTATCGTTTAAAAGAGTTTTTTTAACAATTTTGAAACTTTTAAATCATGTGGAGGATTGAAAAATCGATGAGCATTCGAATAAATACGTTCAAGTTCAATTTCAATTTCACAATTTCTAGACAACACGGTGAACACGTTTCTTTCAATCGACCCCCACCAACATATCGACAAGATTACAATTACGAGTTGATCGAGGATGAAGGGGTATTTGAAAAGTTTAAATGAAAATCGCAAAATCGCAAAATGATTTTCAGATCAACGGAATGCTCTACGAGAGTGAGCTAAATGCGGAAAGCGAGCATGACTCAATGATCAATGTCACCGATGATTTTGTTTTATAGGATAGAAATTATTATTTTGTGCCTTTCATTTTTTTTTTTTTGATGCTACATTGAAAATGAATTCACCCTTGATATATAAATCTTTCAATCAAAAGAGCAAAACGAAAATAGACTGATAGACTTAACTACTTGATTTTTTATAAGCTCTATTGTAGATAACTGGATCAGCGTGTCTAGGGGCTATTTTTGACGCTGATCACGCAACACATGTTTTTAGCCGAGGTTTCTGCACGGAAAACTAACGAAACGTGAAAACAGCCATTTTTTGGCTCTGCCGCCCTTTACTAAAATAGCTGTAAAAACTTTTAGAAAAGAGATATCTCAAAACGGTTTTTACCAATCGATCCGTCTTGAATTCAGCTTTAGGATGAGCTACAAAACGTCAAAATTGGACAAATTTAAGGTACTCTCCCAAAAAATCGGAAAAATCGGAACTTTTCCATCAACCCAATAGATAACTGGATCAGCTAGATCAAAGATACTTTTTTAACAAGTTTACAAGAAATTAAGACTGAAGGTCATTGATAGACTAACTACTTGATTTTTCATCAGCTTTATCGAGATAACTGGATCAACTAAATCTAGATGTTGATCAGCTAGATCTAGATGTAAATCAGCTAGATCTGGATGTAGATCAGCTAGATCTAGATGTAGATCAGCTAGATCTAGATGTAGATCAGTTAGATCTAGATATAGATCAGTTAGATCTAGATGTAGATCAGCTAGATCTAGATATAGATCAGCTAAATCTAGATGTAGATCAGCTTTTCCGACCGGATCCTAGATCAAACCAAAACCCAGGTCAAGAGCCAGGTCAAGCGCCAGGTTCGGCTCACGGAATTGCGTGCTTTGCTTAGAGCGTCTGATCTAAAATCAAATCAAATCAAATCTAGAGTCTGTAAGCCAGGGAGAACTTTTGTGCGCCAAGTTTAGCTTAAAATAGAAGCCAGGCTTAGCCAGAAACTAGACTTGAACCTGATTTGCTGCAGAAGTCATCCACAAAAGATCCCTGTATCTGTATCTGCCAGAAGCCAGGCCAAACTAGACTTCTGAACTGACCTCACTAACAGGCTGACAACAGTTTCACAAAATTTCATCGCATAATACTTGTGATAGACGAAACTTCCCCCTACCTAGCCCCTTATTTGTTTGTCTGTGTCTGCTTTGAGATTTCCCTGTCTCGATCTGTCTACTTTTCCCCTTTTGTGTTGCATAATGGTGTTCTCTTTTCTTTCTCTTTTCTTTCTCTTTTCTTTCTCTTCGATAATCTCTCTACTTTCGCATCTCACAGTTTGAAACCCTGAAAATCGAGTGTTTATTTGAATGTCCGTAGAGAGTAAAGATTGAAAATTTAGGTTTAGATTCAGTAAGTTCACCACATGTAAACTTGACGATTTCTTCGAACTTTTATAGATTATATTGAACTGTGAGTAAATGGGTCTGTAAATGAGTAAAAGCTTTATTAATAGCTTCAACAATTAGGCCAATAAGTTGAGTTTCTGTTTTCGTTTTTGTTTTGAGTTTCTTCTAAAAGTTTAGACCAATTAAAATCGAATTTCAATTAGTAGACTTAATAAATGAATAACTGCAATCGATTCGTCGACCCCGAAAACCCCCGGGCACAAATTTTGCAGCAAAATATCTTCTTTTTGTACAAGGCAAAAGAAAAGTGTAAATGAATGGCGAGGTGTTCTTTGTGTGCGCGCACAATCGCTCGAGATCTGGCACAGGCGCCCGATAGATAGGTGCTCCCTTTGAACCTGATTTGACTGCAGAATTCATCCACAAAAGATCCCTTTATCTGTATCTACGAGAAGCCAGGCCTTCGGTACCGAAGGCTTAGTATTAGCCTTAAGATAAGCCTTCGGCAACTGAGCCGTGTGTGGTCGCTGGGCTCAATCCTTTTTGGGACAATTTTTGCCTTAAATTAGACTGTAATTTGGCACAAATTCTACAAGTTATAGAATCCTCAAAGTATCCTAACTCAAAACACACTTTAAACCAAATGGTGAGTAATTATAAGTTCAAAACAGATATCAGAACGATAAATGATTGATTGATAAATCTATTTACCTCATCGATTTTTACATAAAACAAAGCAAAAAAAAAGAATTCTACTATTGCCGATAATTTGCGACCAATTCATACCAAATATTTGAAGAATTTCTGCCAATAATTTGCTTTTAGTGAGAATGTCATATACAGAATGTACAGAAAACTCTATAACTATAATACTTTCGTCTAAAACTAACTATAACCCAAGACCCAAGATCTAGAGCTCATGAAACACAATGAATGATTTCGATCTTTATAGTTGTATCATTTCTTTGTCGTCTTATTTCCCATTGGTCTCTCTTTTCTTTAGGAGAAGCTAGGAGGGGGAAAGGGGTACGAAATTTGAATTCCATTCCTCGCATTCCATTCCTCGATTAAGAAGACCCTTTGTCTTCTTGGTCACCCCTCAACCGTCAATTAAACAAACCAAACCAATATGATCGCTATTTATAGATTCTAATAGTTGAATGCTAAAGAAAGTACCGTAATAGATGAATTAAAAGGATTGTATTGTATTGTATTAATTGTATTGTATTGTATTGTATTGTATTGTATTAATTGTATTAATTGTATTAATTATATTAATCCTTTTTTGATGCATCCATCTCCCTGTAAAAAGCTAACAAGACTTCAATAAACTTAGATTCCAGAAAAAAAGTTCCAGATGTTTCCAGAAGAAAAAAAAAACAACTTTTTAAAGATTCCACTCTTTTTTTGTTCCAAAGCGAACGCCTATTCTGGAGCTTTTTTTTGGGGAACTTTTGACAATTCGACAATGACATTTTGACATTTTGACAACGTGACAATTCGCCATACATCTATCATTTCACCGCTTCAGTCTTACATAAAAAAAAAACCCGCTGCCTTCTCGTGGATTGTTTATTTGGACTGGCTCTTCCCTACTCTCCAAATCCTCCACCCTGCATGTTAGCCTTCATTGGTGGATAGGTTAATCCCCTATTCGAATGATTGCGTAATCCCTTTCCCCCCTTTTTTTTGTTGAGATAGAACCCTTTCTCTTTTCCTTCGAACAGCCGCTCATCTGCCAGGGTTTTGAAATTCGAGCGCATCTTCGTGCTGGGACTTTCAACTGTGAGCAATTTTTCTAATTCATGGGTTTAATGATATCGATACTTTTATATCGATAAGATTTGATAGATAAGTAAATCTAGAACGATGAACTTATCATTGTTAAGTTACCTGAAACATCTTGTAATGTTTTCTACTTATAAATTGGATTGTATGAATTGTATGGATTGTATGGATTGTACAATGTACAATTGTATGGTTATGGATTGTACAATGTAAATTGGATTGTATGGATTGTATGGATTGTACAATGTGCAATTGTATGGATTGTACAATGTAAATTGGATTGTATGGATTGCACAATGTAAATTGTATGTTTATGGATTGTACAATGTAAATTGGATTGTATAGATTGTATGGATTGTACAATGTAAATTGGATTGTATGGATTGTACAATGTAAATTGGATTGTATGGATTGTACAATGTAAATTGGATTGTATGGATTGCACAATGTAAATTGGATTGTATGGATTGTACAATGTAAATTGGATTGTATCGATTGTATGGATTGTACAATGTGCAATTGTATGGGTTGTATAATGTACAATTGTACGGTTATGGATTGTAAATTTCAATAGCTTTTTCGCTTTTTCATAAGATTAAAGTGATTTTTGATTTCTTTTTGTTTTTTAAAGCCTTTTTCAAAGTTCTACTTTACTTTTTAGGTGCTTCTTTTCAAAAAGAGTACTTCAAAGTTCAATTTACTACTGTATTGCTGTAAGTACTGTAACTACTGTAAGTACTGTAATACTACTGTATTATTGTACGTATTACTGTAGATACTGATGTACTTGAAAGTCTGCTGTAAAGCTTAAAGCTGAGCTGAGCTTCCTAGCTGGCTTTTCACCTCATTTCTTCAGGGATCTTTGAACACCATCGAGTCCATTAAAGCGATTTTAGCGATAGCGATCTATCGGAAATTTCCCAAAACCCATCTGAATCACATGCACTTGTCTTCTTGATAAAGCACATTTTCTAGAAAGAAAAAAAGAAGATTTTCATTGAAATTCTCCCGCCGACAAAACAATCGACAGTGCTGAAAAAAAGAAGAGATTTCCGGACAGATCCGATGGCATTTCTCTTTGATTTCAAAAGATTAAGAATGGATGTGGGGGAAAGGCAATCATCGATTCCCAAAACATTTCGATTTCCCTCGAAAAGAAACGGGGGGATCTTGATCTGAGTGCATAAAGGAATGGGCGAGCTGGGCGAACAAGTCTTGTGCTCATGAATCACACGATTCGAGAGTGCAGCGATCGTCGATCAATTCGAGAGGGATCGTCGAAAAGCCAAGAACCGATTCTGATTGTTTATCTTGATAATGAGCTTGCAAAAGATCTTCTAAAGTCTTAAAAGCTTAAACTTAAACCTGTAAAACCTTAAACCTGTCTAACTTATCCACTCAAAATGAATGAGTTGAAATGAATGAGTTGAATTTTGAAGCGAACAAACTACAGTAACCTAGAGAAACAAACAAAAAATCAGCTTCACTACAGTACTATCACTACAATACTATACTACAGTACTATACTACAGTACTATCACTACAGTAATCTATGACTCGAATCTTCTATTGTAACCTTTAGCAAATGCATAATAAAGCACTTTTGTTCGCTTTTGAGTTGTAAATTTGTACTAGAGAATTTTCTGGGATTGGGAAGACCAATTCGTTATTAATTTTATTAGAAAACTGGATTCAATTTCATACAAAATATATCAAAAACGGTTATAACTAAGTATTTAAAACATCTTAGATCAATTTCTATAGCTATTTCTGTGGCTATTTCGTATGTGTTTCATATTTTAGCTAATAACTATCATAACTATTTCTATAGCTATTTTATAGCTATT